TTTGTGTGTGTGTGTGTGTGTGTGTGTGTGTGCATGCCAAATAAGGGTGAGGAAATGAATCCTTAGGAAGTGTCTGAAATTATGACAAGGAGAGGAAAGGAGACAGACAACCCTGTGTTTCTACTAAAAAGAAAGCAGAGGGGGTCTGCATTGTTCAGGTCACCTTTGTCAAGTTGGCTCTGTTGTTTCAGCTGCTGCATTACAGAGCACCTGTTACTGAGATCACTAATGCGGCACCAAGGGTTGAGGATCCTAACTGTTTATTACAAACGTCTGGTTGAGTTTTGTCATCTTGTTTACACAGACAAAAAGATTGTGCATGATTTGCACACTGCCAATCTTCCAGCAAATGCAAGCACACAACTTTGTGTAGTCGCCCAACGAGCCAGTGATATGAAAGCTGTGGAGCCCCCCACCCCCCACCCAAATCTTAGCATCAACAATGCACAGTGACGTATCTCCTCAGCTGGTAACAGGGAGTGTGAGAAAATACAGACACAAAGACACGACTTGGTGTGTCTGTGCGCCATTGTGCGCCATAGGGCTACCGCTGCAGCATGTTCTGGAGCTGCAGTTCCCACAGTGGTGGAGGGGAGTTACGGGTGTCAACAGCTTGACCTTATTCCTTTGAGAGTGTGATGTGAATTCAAACATGAGAACGCAATGAGCCATTAAAAGGTCTTGTCGTTTTGTTGTGACTGAATGAGTGTTTTTATTTTATTTTATTATCAGTATATGTTTTTTCACACTCTACATAGTACTTTAAAAAAGCCTTTTTAAAATAAAATATGATGCTCTGTCAATTTAAAGATTAAGTATGTCATTAAAAACAAACTAAAACACTGAAAATGTAGGTAAAAATAAGAAATGGTAAATGAACTAAGTTTGTGAAGACTTATTGTCCATTCGATGCAAACCACATTCATTCACAACATTTTTATTGTACACATGCAGTCTTCACTGTCCCTTCCCACATGTAAACTCACACATAATAAAGAAGCACATTTCCTAAAAATCCACTCAAAAGAATTAATATTGGCACAATTTCTTTGCTCTGTGCAGTAGGTCAATTTAAACAGAGAAAGTTAATTTCCCTTGACCTCTGAGTCTTTCCAAATAGGGATTCCCCAGAGATTAGAGACCTTGGCATGTCACTATGATTAATCGATACTCCAATGACAACATATTGGCTTTTCACACACGCTGCAACTTTAAGGAGAGCTGAGGTGGAGATTGAGAGTGTGGACAAAAAAAAGGGACAGAAAAAAAAAAAATAAAGCCAAAGAAGAAAAATTGTGTCAAGATCCATCTCTGTTCCACAGGGAAATAAGCCTCCTGTATGGATTTGCGGTAAATGGAAATACAGAGACAATTTGCTGCTCTGCAACTTTTAACCTTCAGTGGATTCTGAAGAAATCATGCAGCGTACTTTTCCGTGATTCCATACATACTATTAGATTTTGTCATTGCTCCTTGAGTCCTGTGGTGTTTTCAGCTCCTCCTGTAGTCTTCGAGCTCTCCACCTTCTCTCTCTTTGCGCTCTGTCTTTTTCCTGACTGGTTGGACATGCATCCCTCTCAGCTACACCTCTGCAATCAGCAGCTGCACCAAAGCCCTCTGTGATGTGAAGTGAGACACTTGCATACTAATGGAGCAGAAACAGGATGTCTCTCAGGCAGGCCAGCACAGTGAGGACATGAAGAAAACATCAGGCGGCATTGCTTAGGTTTCAGTGCCACATTACAGCCCTGGATTGATGCTGTTTGTCATGGCAAACTCGAAGCATTAGTAAATGAATAAGTGTCTTATTATAATATATCGTATGGTGATGCATGTGCAAAGTATAGTTTTATCTATTGGTTCCTCTGCAAGGGCAGTGTTTTCCTTGCACATATGGTTGGCTGTTTAATCATACCAGTGGGTTTCTATTGCACCAGCCCAAGTTTTTACTGGCATATTTCATTCGCTGCCTGATGGCACTAATAGCTGTCTTCTCATATCTTTGGTTATGGAACAAATGCCGGTGGCATAGCCGTTGCCATGGTGATGGCATGTCTGTGAGCCTGTTGTGTGGCTGCTGATACAGAAACACTGCTCACATTTTGCACCCAGTGAAACGGGCCCCAGAAACAGATGGGTGAAAGAATTGCCTCCTGTGAAAAATGATGTGGTGCGCTATCAAGTGAGGTCCCTCCTGGCTGTGCCAGGGGCATATGGTGAAATATAATATTAGCGGCAATTCTTAGAAGGCGTAAAATCAAATGAACTGAAATTACTCATAAAACAACACAAGTGTCATGATTTTTATTCAATCAAAGTGTTTTCAAATCACCTCTTTACTGTCTGTGATTGAAAACAACGACTGCCAGGTGCACCCATAAAGACTTGCACGCCGCAGATCTAAAGAGAAATGATCCTGCATCTGATTGCAGGTCTGTTTTCCTTCAGGGGCTCTCATTATCTCGCCACTTGTATTGTCCAAAGAAAATGTCTTATAAATAGATTTATGGAGCCTTAACATGGAACAGACAAACTTTGTTATGTGCCGCAGTTACATCCTGCTGTCATGCTTCGGACCATCAGAGCCAATGAACCTCTGAAGGTTCAGCTGAACCAAGTGCAGACCAATTGTAGATTCCGTGCAGCAATTGCAGATGGATGTTGACACATTTTCTATGTATACTGTGAACTTGGATTAAAACCTCATAACTACTGGGTGTGCTGTGAGAGTAAATCCCCTCAGCCTGAGCCTTCAGTTTAGACAGTCAGCTGGATAATGCCGAGCTACTGAAGGATTTTTCTTCCTCCTTCTAGTGTTCTCAGTATGCATGCATGTAAAAATCAGCAAGTCAAATAAGAATAGGCAAGGACGGGTATGTGTCGAGGGATATGTTGCTATGGGACGAAAAATGTATTTTGTGGGAAAGTGTAGATCCAAATGTAAGAAGAAATATGTTTCATACAATATCTGTGCTCTCTGCTGCCACAGCCGAGCGATTAGCAATAGATTTTCAGCATAAAGGTGCTCGTACCCAACAGGTGCAGCCCTGCTGTGGCAGTGAGTGTATTATATTATATCTCAAACCGAATCTCTGCTGCATCCCTGAGAGCAGTGAAAACAAGAGTTCATAAAGTTGTCCACCACCCACCCTCTTGTTGATATGATCTAGTAGGACTTTACAAGTCCTCTGTTGCAGTTTAAATTGTGAGACTGAAGTGTGTTGCCAACTACAGAATATATAGTTATCATGAGGAAGTTGTATGTGGAGCTTCTCAGTTACAGAAGCTGTCTATAAGACTGCACAGAACACACAAGCTGTGTAGAAAACTGTAAGAATGTGCATTAAAGGCCAAAACACTCTGACACAATGTATGCAAAAAAAAGCGATGCACATAGATTTGTGTTATCCTTCAAACACGTTAGCAAGAGTAGCAGTGAGCAGGGGGTCAGAGCAGCAGGCTGCATGGCTTAGCACTGGACCAGCAAAGGCTCGATGTTATGAACAGGTGGGAAGCCATTCCAATCACTTCAGCAGAACTGGTCCATGGCCAACAATACGTGTGTGTGTGGGTTGAGCGGAGAGAGTGTACGTGTAAATTTGTGTACTGCAATCATTATGAAGCAAACTACCAGTGAAAAAGAGCATATGTGCCCAACAAAACTTCCCAGGGTCAATAAGGTCAACACGTACGCACAGCAAGACATAGGTGGGGACCGGATGCTGACTCCCACAGTGTTGCCAGGCTGCCAGAAACCTAGTGGCAGGTGTCTGAGTTTTATGGCCTCAGCATGAAAACAAACATCACTCCTCCTGTCTTCTCCAATTTAATACCCGAGTAACGCAACACATGGAGCAAGAGAGAGAGGACAGATAAATGTGTTATCGAGGAGATTTCTACATATATTTATAGGCAAGTAATTAAAATGAAGAACATATGACTGGATTATTTAAATGATGGATGATTAAAAGCAGAAGGAGAAGCCACATGTTCAGAGTTTTCTAATAAGGATCTATGAATAGTAGGCACACGTTCCTGCTGCCACACTTTAATCACACTGAGAGAATCATTAGATCAGATAGTGTGTGACCAGGTCACTGCAGAGATCAGCCACCTGATCCAAGGTAGCATATGAATTCTTTGAGAAACTGGGGTGAGCGCTGAAGCTTTAATGCTTAAACTTTCTGTGGTATATTTCCTCTATTTGACTGAATTTGTTGAAAGCCTTTTTTTTTTGTATGTGCAGTTCCTCTCCTCTGCTGCATTTCAATTTCTAGAAACAACTTATTTCTCGACATGGCACAGGCTTTTATTCTGTATCTGTCAAGCAGTTTTTACATTATGGTGTATGTGATGTTAAGGGAAAAACAGCGAGAATCTGTCAACACATCGCAAAGCGTGAACAGACATCATATGAAAGGTGAGGGAAAACAATCTGTATCTATTTTATGTTAATATCTGAGGAACCTGCTACTTACGATCTGAAATAAATGTTACCCATCTCACACGCACACACACACACGCATGCACAAACTCAACCTCAGTATGTGAGGATCAAAACAAGCGTTAGTGTTAGTCATACTCGAAGCTGAAACTGCAGTTGTTTGTTTTAGTGAAAGAAAGCCAAGAGCCTCTTTTGCTTTCCCATTTCTCTGTCTTCTATTATAGGAATAAATGGAGATTTCCTTTCAGTTGTTTAGGAAGCGTACCGACACATAGACACAAACACAACCTCACATACAGACAAGATACAGTGTCTGCACGTGCAAAACTAGCTAAAAGAAGAATGTTATTTTTCTAGTTTGTAACAGTTTAAAGGAATTCTTTTTATTTGTTCAAAGAAACTGACAGCAGTTCCTCATTCTCAACACTCATATTGCTTGTGAAAGTCGAGTCTGTGCCGGTCATTCTTAGTAATATTTGTCAGACTGGGTGACATCAGACTGTAGAACAAAAGCAAAAAAAGCATAAAATCCTAAAAATTCGCTGGCGGCTCAGGATGTCAGTCAGCTCATCTTAATCTCAACAAACCTGGACGTGCACAGTTATACAGTGGGCCCACAGCTCAAACTTTTTTTGTGACTGCCTACCATGGGTCTTTATCATAAGCAGTGAGTGATTAACAGTGAAGAGCACTCACTCCCAGTATATTAAGCTTGTTGTGTAATGGGCTCACAGCCAGAGTTGCCGGCTGCTCCCACCCTGCTCGCTCGTTGAAGAGGATAACTGAAACTAAGCTGGTATGCAGATAATCTAACCAAACCAGAGAGAGAGCGAGAGAAAACATTTTCATAATCTCCAAGGAGACAGATACATCAAGGAGGCACAAGCAAAAACAAACCTATCATCCTACGTGCTGAAAAGTGTAGTGCTCAGTCTAAAAATGTTGCCTCTTTCTCCCTGTTAGTTAACCTGCTTGGGTAAGATGGCAATTTTAGTAAAGGAGGAGCAAGATTTTAAATACGTTGCAATGCCTTGTGATTTCATTGCTGTAACACTAAAGCTTTACATGTAAATAAAGAGTGCCTCGCTCAAGAGCGAATTTCAAGCAGTCCTTTGGGATGACTTGTTTCAGCTGAAGTTCATTTCAAGATCTCGAATTAATTAAACACACTTTCTGCTTATTATCAGTTATGTCTGGATGTGTAAGCTGCAATTTAAAATGATGATAAATTCCTATGTGACTCAAGGGGAACCACATGAATTTGACAGATTCTTTCTGCCCTGTTAGACACATCATTTTAAATATCCCTAAACATCTGTGAGGTGCTGCTATGGAAATGTGACGTGTCTCATTTTTTTCATCATCTTGAAATTAATAATGAACTCATTACCTTCTCACTTCACTCTGTCATGCCGTTTTTCAATTTTTTTCCCAGTTACTTATATCCCTTAACAGCTGCCTTACTCTTTTTCTTTTTCAGGTCAAAACCTCAAGTTGAAGTTTGGATCTAATGCCTGTCCTGCCTGTCTTTTGCACACTCCGTCCTCTTGGTTAGAAATCACCATTCTCAACCTACAGCAGCTAGCTACAAAGGAGACTAATGCTTATTAACCGTACCCTTCTATCCTCCTCCCAAACGCTGCCTCTCATTTAAGCCTTTTGTGAGCAGGGAGAGGAGACAACATGGCGCTCAGCTGTCAGCCTTGGCCTCCTCTAATCTGGTTGTGCATAGGATTGCTTCTTTGCTTTCTGTCACCGGCACACGGCAAAGATTGCCCTCATTTGTGTGTTTGCGAGATCCGCCCTTGGTTCACCCCTCAGTCAACCTACAAGGAGGCAACTACAGTGGATTGCAATGATTTAAGGCTAACACACATCCCTACCAACCTGTCAGTGGATACCCAAGTGTTACTGCTCCAAAGCAACGCCATATCTCGTACCAGCGGAGAGCTGGAGGTACTGTTTAACTTGACGGAGCTAGATTTATCCCAAAACAACTTTAGCACTGTGGAAGCTGTCGGCCTCACAAGCATGAACCACCTGACCACCCTGCATCTAGAGGAGAACCAGATCACGCAGCTGCCAGACCACTGCCTGCAAAACCTCTCCAACCTTCAGGAGCTCTACATCAACCACAACCAGATAAGCTCCATCTCCCCTCGAGCATTTGCAGGACTGCACAGTCTGCTGCGCCTCCACCTTAACTCCAACAGGCTCCATGTCATAGACAGCCACTGGTTTGAAGAAACACCCAATCTTGAGATTCTCATGATTGGGGAGAATCCAGTTATTGGCCTCCTAGACATGAACTTCAAGCCCCTAGTAAGGCTGAGAAGTCTGGTTCTGGCTGGAATGGATCTCACTGATGTTCCACCCGATGCATTTGTAGGTTTAGATAATTTGGAGAGCATTTCTTTCTATGACAACAAATTGGTCAGTATCCCCCAACTGGCCCTTCAGAAAGTTCCCAATCTCAAATTCTTGGATTTAAACAAGAATCCAGTCCAGAAAATTCAAGAAGGAGACTTCAGAAACATGCTACGTCTGAAGGAGCTGGGCATCAACAACATGATGGAGTTAGTGTCTATTGACCGTTATGCTATGGACAACCTCCCAGAACTGACTAAACTAGAGGCAACCAACAACCCGAAGCTGTCTTATATCCACAGGTTTGCTTTCAGGGATATGCCATCCCTTGAGAGTCTGATGCTTAATAATAATGCTCTTACTGCCCTTTACAAGCAAACTGTGGATGTGTTGCCAAATCTGCGGGAGATCAGTCTCCACAGCAACCCATTGCGGTGTGATTGTGTCATACAGTGGATGAGTTCCAACAGGACCACGGTGCGCTTCATGGAGCCCTTGACTATGCTGTGCACCTCCCCACCAGAGTTTAGAGGTCAACGGGTCAGAGAGTTCAGACTGCTGGAGTCAACGGAGCAGTGTCTTCCCCTTATATCCCATGAAACCTTTCCTAGCCACTTGAATCTAGAGCTGGGCATGAGCGTGAGCCTGGACTGCCGGGCAATGGCTGAACCAAATCCAGATATATACTGGGTGACTCCTCTTGGAAACAAAATCACAATGGACACTGTGTCAGAGCGCTATCACTTGAGCAGCGAGGGCACCCTGCGGCTTTCTCACGTGCAGGTGCAAGATTCTGGTCGTTACACCTGCGTGGCCCAGAACACTGAAGGGGCCGACACACGGGTCGCCACCATCCGCATAAATGGAACCCTGCTCGACAGCGCTCAGGTGATGAAGATTTATGTCAAGCAGACGGAGTCACACTCCATCTTGGTGTCCTGGAAAGTCAACTCTAATGTCATGTCCTCGAACCTGAAGTGGGCTTCGGCCACCATGAAGATTGACAATCCACACATCACCTACACAGCCCGTGTCCCTGTAGATGTCCACGAGTACAACCTCACGCACCTTCAACCTGCCACCGAATACGAGGTATGCCTCACTGTCTCCAACATCCACCTGCAGACACACAAGTCTTGTGTTAATGTGACAACACGTAGCGCTACCTTTGCCCTGGACCTGACAGACCAGCACCCAAGCGCAGCTGTGCTAGCTGTCATGTCAACCATGTTGCTCTTCCTCAGTCTGGCCACTGTGGGCATCTACATGGCCCGAAGATGGAAGAGGAAAAATTACCACCACTCCTTGAAGAAATACATGCTGAAGACATCCTCCATTCCACTTAACGAGCTCTACCCTCCACTCATTAACTTATGGGAGGCTGACGGTGAAAAGGACAAAGATGGCAGCACAGAGGGAAAACCCTCTCCTGTTGACACCACACGCAGTTATTACATGTGGTGAGGATTCACTGAGGATTTATTGTCTCCAGCAGCACAAAGAAACACTTTTGCCATTTCGGGGCAAAAGTTGACTAAAGTTGCAATTTCTTTTGTATTCTCAGCTTTGCTAATAAGAGGCAGAGTGATCAAGTGCAGGATTTTTATTAGTATAGCGTATCGCCTTTGTTTGATTCTTTCTAACGTTCTGGACTTTCCGAGATGGCAGCTGTAGTTAGCCTCCAGGTCGTCTTAGTTGCTCTGCTCTGTTTCTGTGGTACATTTTTGACTCGCTTATTTTTGGGAAGCTTCTACAGCAGCAGGGTCGATGAACTTCTTCCAGCATTACTAGAAATGTTTCTTTCTCGGTTTTGTAAAACAGTTAATCTGTTGCGCACTGATAGATAAAGGAGTTTGTACGAACTTCGAAGCTGACAACGGGGTTTAGACTTGTTAAACTGTCTACTGAATGTTAGCAATTGTGCAGTAATGTTGTATCAACTATATCTTTGAACTTTCTAATTTACAGCGCAAGATATTAGGATTTTAGTTTGCAGATAAATGTGATGTTAAATGCTAGAAATGCAAATGTTTGATAAGTACCTTTTGACTTCTTTTTCCTTAAGGTGCACTAGAAGCCTTTTGACTTTTTGTTCATTCTTTTATTTGGCTAGACATTTGTTGGCTGCTTAGTTTATTATTTTCACATGCAACATGTATACTAAACACGTTAAAATAAATAACATTTTGATTCTTTTACAGAAATTTGGGAGTTTTCTGTGACTCTTTGGCATTAGAATTGCATCTGTTCGCTTTAGACTAACAGTGTTAGTGGTTGATGACACATGCTGTATTTAGGCTCTGAATCTCATGTCTTAATAAATGGTACTGTAAGCTCTCAGTTCCACAGATAGACGTGAATGTGTGCTGCCCTCTGGTGGATGCTACATATTAAAACTAATCATGTTTAATATGGCTGTTTATCAAAGCTTTTACTTTCAGTACATAACTAATACAACACAATTATTTTTTTTAAAGAGGAAAATACTGCTTTATTACAACAACTTTATAATGGAAATGTATGAAACAGTGCTTTTGAGCAAAAAAAGGACAAGTTTCTACAATGATTTTACAGCAAAGTCATTTTCTGTACATTAAGATTTACTTTCAGCACAACCAGCTTTTAGCTGATAATGGCAACAAGAAAAAAAACACACTAATCTGTTCCAGTGAAATGTACAGTAACTTGAATTATTAATATTTTTCCCCACCAGTGCTCAAAGGTGGCCAGAGAAAGCTTTTTCATTCATTTCTTATAAAAACATCTGAAAAACTATAAAAAGTGAGAATACTGTGAACATATGTCATAGTAGAGAAGATTTACCGTCCATCATATTCAGATGTTTGGCAATGAGATCACAGTAAAATGTTGCATGTCCTTCCTGCATAGTCAACAACGGGTTTAGGCAGCAGCTTCAGTAAAAGTGTGTTTAAGACAAGCAGGTGAGATTATCGTTTCTCCTGAGAAACACAGCGGAAACCAAGATTAGAAGCTGAGCTGTCCCGTGTATTTTGGCTTCTTGCTGCACAGCGATACCTGTAACAGTAAGACTGAAAAAGGGGGGGGGGGGAAAGGGGGGGAAATGTACTGTGAATGAACCGAATAATGTCAGTAACAGACACTGCTTTGTGATATTTTACTGTTTGATAGTCAAGACTACTGATATTAATCTTGTAGACAGCCCGCTTATGCACAGTCTCCAATCACTGACCTCTCGGGTCCCTCACACGTGTAACTATAATGTGAAACAAGAAGAAAACTGTGGCCAGTCAACATGTGACAAGGCTCTCACTAGCATCAAAAGCCCCATGTACCAGAAAGGAAAGAATGAATACATCAATCCCTTTGTTATCCCACAGGTGGAGAGTAACAGAGAGCAGAGAGCTACCCTACTTCCTCTTAGAAATGCTAATATCAGTTGTCTGGATTCAGTGTTTCCAACAATAACATGGTTTCTCCAACAGCCAGAACCGTTTTACTTTCACTGATCACTTTATTCCAAAAAATACCACAAAATCCCAGTGAGTGAGGCCCTTGGTATATTTAACAAATAAATAATTAACCACGTTTTGAATTTCAGATTTAAAAAACTGGATGTTTAACATAATTTTTTTCATACCTTGTGGCACATGTATGACCCTCCCTTCTTCACTTTATCTTTGCCTGAGGGAGGCCCCGTCTGAAAGAGAGCAATGGTAGAGAATAATTACAGAAAAAGAAAAAATCAACACCAACGACAATAACAAAAGCCTGAATGTAATCTGTCATTACTGGGTTGCGTTGCGGGTCCGTGGTGTGATGCACAGTCCACCAGTCTGCTGTCCATTCCCATGCATTCCCCACCATGTCGTACAGACCAAAAGCATTGGGAGGAAAGGACATCACCTGTAGGGTATAAGGGCACTACTGTCACTTTACTGCAATGTTTTTAAAAATACATTATTGTTAATATTATCATTTCTAATTTCTAAATTCTACACTAATTCTAAAAGTAGTCTAATCTATCTATCTAAAGGATATTTAAGCCCTGTGGCTTGAAGAACTATTGTGCATGAATATTTGTGTCTTTCAATGGTACACACAGTATATTATGGTAATTAGAACACGCTAATGCTACAGTATTATTTGGCCTGTTAGTGCTGCTGACAAACTGATATCCTCAATCACAGTGAGAAAATAAAATGAATAAATACATAAATAATAAAGGTTTTAGGTTTTAAATGCAAAAAACTGGTCATTTTAGCCCTTTGCCAAGTAGTTTCTAGGAAACATGATGACACTATAATATCTGATATAGATAAGAATCTTTAAACTTATTTTGGTTGCTTAACTCCTCCCAGTATAGAAGGAGTTTGTAGACAAAGGAAGCAGAATGTTGAAACACAAGTCAAACCTCTAAACCTGCTGGACAACTAAAGGGATTTCTTAACTGAGCTCAAGTTCCCCTATTACTTCAACATCAGTGACTGCCTTTTACCCTAACAAGGTGACATAATGCAGATTAGAATATCATTTTACATCAACACCATATACTCTTAAAGATTTCACACAGAAATCGGATATTCAGGATTCATACTAGAATTGGAACTATGAAGTTGCCTCTGTTAAGAAAGATTGGATTTATGTTGTCTTTTTGTTATCTATGTAATCTCTCAAGGCTGCAAGCTTCTTTTGTGACTTCATCGAGCTTTGGAATGCGTTATGTCTAGCATTTTCCTGGGCCAAACTTTTTCCGACTAAACCTGAAATATGAGATCCCTCAACACACCCATAATTATGGCATTCCTTCATTCTTGCTTGTGTCTCTTACCGGTGAAGTTTTGATATGCCCATCTTCTCCAGAGTTGTGTGTGGGGAAGTCTCCCTGCCAGAGGTTAGCAAAGTGTTGTCCTTTAGGGTTCAACTTGTTTCCCCATGGATAAAGTCTAAATGTAGGCGTGGTATACCAGGAAAGTAATCTGAGACATATTTCATGTAGGAAATGCACATATCCAAACATCTTTCACAAAAAGGTTCCTTTTGCATTTGTGCTTATAAATCTTCTGTTCACTTTGGTCATACATTGTTATTATTCCCATTTTTGAATGTACATTTCAGACTAGAGGTTTGTTAGTATTTCCCCCTCTTATAAACTGTGTGTTAAGCAACTGTAACAAAGCAGTTTCCCTACATGGATCAGTAATGTGTTTTCTGATTATGATGCTGATCATCAGTTAACATCTTACCTGTCTTTCAGGCCACCCCTGCAGGCATACTCCCACTCTGCTTCTGTGGGGAGTCTCTTGTTAGCCCAGGAGCAGTAGGCAAAAGCATCTTTCCACGAGACATGCAAAACAGGATGATGGAGCCTAAAAAAACACAGATTTAAAGTAATTTACTGAGCTCTTATCAGTTTTTCATAAATATAAGAAGAGTGAAGGTTTGATGCTTGATAGGTGTTTTATATAAATGTGGAGCGTATTATTGAAAACATTATGAAGTTTTTAGTAAAAGAGAGTTTTTCTACCTGTCTGTGATGTTGGAGTCTGGGCCCTCAGGGTGCCTCCAGGAGGCTCCTTTGACTGGAAGCCACCAAGGGGCAGCGGCCACCTAACAACAAGTGGTAGTAACAGTTGTTACTGATCGTATCATCACGCCCATCTAAAGACAAAAACGTGCTTTCTGAAGGTGCTGGGTTAAAACTAAAATGTAATTATTTAAATGAATAAAACATACTGTGCTGCATTTATAAAAATGCGATCACTGTCAAAGGCTGCCTTATTTATTTTAATATTATTTGACTGGAGCAGCTTACAGTTCCCAAGAACAACATTTGTCATGATGCTAATATTGATGCTGTGCTGCTAATTTTTAATATATCTGAATTGTTTAATGTAAATATGTGAGATATATTATATTAAAGTGGTCATTTATACATTTATGACTTTATTTTAGGTTCAGATAGCTATAGAGACACATGCATGTGCACAATAATAATAAAAATTTAATAATTACTTGAAATACTAATGGAAAAAAAACAGTAAATAATAAAATATGTGTAACTTTAATAACAGCATCACACTTTTAGAACAAAGAACTTTGTTGCCAAATTGCAACAAATGTATAACTTTCAAACTGGGACTCTTTGAAAAATAATTAGCAGTAATTAGTGAAGTTATTGTGCCATATGGGTAAATGTGTGGAAGCCTCTAGGTTTGAGGGTCATACAGAAGACTTCTATAGGTAAACCTGTCAAGCTGTAGGTATTTAATGAACACACAGTGAAAACTAGAAACATCAGGAAGCACCAAACACCAATTTCTTGGAAATGTTCTGTCCAAAACCACAAAAACTATCTTTAGCACGCTCCAAAGTTCATAGACTCATGTTGCTGCTGAAGTGTGGTAAAAGTCTTCAGTCCTGTGTGCAGAAAAATAAAAAAAATACTGGAAGCTGCCAGTGCTACCCCTCCGCCTCCTAGTAAATACACCTAAAAACATCAACTTAAAATTTCTACATTACTTCTTTATCAAGTTACTACATTTACAGACTTGTGTATTCACGGCACCTGCCGGGGTGACGACAGTACCCCATCAACCTTTTACAGCTGACAGGTAAAAACTGTTTAAGGTGACTTTCTGTGAAGGAGGTGCTTTGAGGCTTCTTCCTATTTGGCATGATATTTTTATTTTTTATTTTTGCAAAGCACAAGACTGTAGGTGACTCTCACATGCCGAAGAACTGGATTATCAAGCCTCTGGGCGTTTGATAAAACAAATTACCCACATTTCGTCATGCAGCAAGCTAACATTAGGATTTTCCATCTGTTGTGGAGACCCTGACATCAAAAATAAAGCCGATCCACTGTGTCCTCAGATTCAGAGCATGCATAAAGACTCCTGTGTTTCCTCTTTTGCTGCCAACAACAGAAAATTTGGCGTGCTTTTCTTGTGACTGGGACATTTTAGAGTGAGAGAAGTGGCTCAAAAAAGGGTGGACTGCTCATACCTTTGTTTGAGGGCATATAAAATAGCCACAAGGTGGGCATGATGAAAATGTGATATAGAGAACTCAAAGGAGAAAAGCATGGGGTTCAAATGAGACCTTTGACCTAGCTCAGCATCAGTGTTGTTTGTGGGAGAGAAAAACTCCCTTTGGGAACTTTAGCTACATGTACTTATATGAACAAAAAAGCTTTTTACACATAAACATTTACAGACATTTAAACACAGCATGAAAGCCTGTGAGGTTACATTTATTACAACACTTTATATTTACTGTTGTCTACTAAACATAGTGTGTGAATTTGGACCTCTAGTCCTGCAAGCTACCGATATCTATGTGTAAGCAATAAATAGTTTGTTAGATCGTTGCATAAGTGCAAACTAATGTAGAGCGCGTCTTTGACTGTGTGCTCGTTTTGTGCAGTGAAATCGAAAGTATGACATGTAGCCTGCACATGTCTTCCTTCAAAGCTACAACTGACGTAGCATGTAAAAAGTGAGCTGCAGAGGTAAGTCGCCTGCTCAGTGGTACACTTACTGCTTGAGTGACTTGGCTTTTCACTGGCTCACTCAAAAGTCCCTCGAAAACAAACGAGTCTCCAAATTTCTCTGCCTAAAAATCAGAAAAGACACAGATTTTATGGGCAATAAACAACCCCAGGATAATGAAAACCACTCACAAAAAAATATGGTTTAATTTTTAAATATTTTTTAACACCTCAGTCACATATCCTGTCGCAAGGACGAAGCTCTGAAACTGTTGGTTAGTGACTTCATGGATGTCTATGTTGAAGGAGTCCACATACACCACTCTCTGGGGTCCCTCACCGTCTGGGGGGATGCCTGGGTTGTCTGTTCCCATCAGGAACTCCCCTCCAGAAATCTGCACCATCTGCACGGAACAAGTACATTTTTTATTTACATATGCAAACAAACTGTGCTACAAACTGGAATGTAGATTCAGGATTAATAACTCTTATGAGCTACAAGATCATAACAACCAATAAAGAACACAATAAAACAATGAAGATCTATAATATATTTAGTAAAAATCTAAGTTATTAGCCACCTATAAATAATAGAAATAATAGTAGAAATAAAAAATATGACACCAGAGTGCCACAAATGTGCAGTCTTAAAAGGGTAACTTACAGGAAACAAAGGCTGGGCTGTCAAACTTCCTGCTTCTGCATTCAAGTCATATTTACAGCACATGGTGTTATGGTTTATTTAAACACACAACTAAAATTAGCACATATGTGGACACAATTTTGCAACCCTTGGCTTTGGTGTTAATCGACAGATCTGTGTTGCAGCTGATTGGCTACAAGGCCTTGCTTATGCATGGGAACCTCAGAGGCCTAATAGTTCCAAGAACGATTAGATTCGACTTTGGTAACTACTTTATGACATTTTGCACGCATAACCTTATCTCTACACTCTCACAAAATAGCGGTGTCGTTTTTTTGTTTTTTTTTCCGTAACAGGAGTCGCAACATACCGGATGTTGTGTTTCCCGCTCATTGTCCTGCACCTGATTCGTCCTGTCATTTGCGTCTTTGGAGTATTTGAGATCAGGATCTGTGGAAGGTGCTTTACCCTCATCCTCGTCCAAGGGATCCACAGTTGGAGCGTCTCTAGTCAGCTTATCACAACCGCAGCCCGCCGCTCTTTCCGGGCCTGGAGGTTCTGCGCTACATGAACTCTGAAGACACAACACTTTGCTCACACATCCAAATATGAACAATAAGGTGAAATAACGCAACATTTTGATGGTTTTTTTTCCAAGGCATAGCTCAGGGTCCATGCATGATGTTGACACTAGTGATGTGACGTTCTGTATCGAGGCTTCGAAGCGTGTGTCGAGTAATGGAGGGGACGTTTCCGCGAAGCGCGTATCGAGGCTTGCTTCATTTATGGGAGGAGCTGAAAATGATGACGTCCGAAGCCTCGCTGCCCGGCTGTACCACGTGACTGGTTCATGAAGCGGTTCGAACTTTGCCGCGAGATATGACAGCGATATAAACCCCTCAGACTTCATTCAAAAATGTGGGTGTTTGATGGAGAGTTGCAGTTAGTGAGAGTTAGAGACAGTTTGGAGGTTCATGAGAGTGAGGAGAGAAAGTCAGGAGAGAATGGAGCCAGCTAAGAAGAGGAGGATGTCCTCCCCTGTGTGGGAACATTTTGATTTTATTCCTCCCAACAAGGTATGTAAATTTCTACAGAAAATGTATTTTCATAATACTGATGGTGCAATAAAACATATGTTAAGCTGTCTTTACTTTTGTACAAGGTGAAGTGTTTGCTATGTGCCAGGGAGCTGGGATATAACAACAACACCTCATCCATGCTTAGGCACTACAGAGCTTTGTATGAGAATAAGGGGAACACCGATTGTGGAGCAAGACCAGGTGAACCATCAAATGCCATGATAATATAGCATGCAGTAATGTTA